TCTCGCTGCCCTGGAAATTTCCTCTCGCCGTTGGTAACAGATCCAGAGTAACGGGTTAAATCATTATTATTTGTTTGTCCAGTTCTCAACTCATGATAAAACTTAGCTTGGGTTGAATGAACTAGAATACAATCTCCAATGTATATACATTTCTGGATGGGTTTACAATAACATTAGAGGTTCTAAATGAGACTATTGATGATTTAATTAATTTAATTAATGTTAATATTAACATGCAACTGCTAATCTTAATTGATATTAACATAAAAATAAACATTAGGTATATATGATATCGATATTTATAAATTTTCATTATTTTATTATTCTGAGCAACAGGAATTATAATTTCTTTTGTATGATGATACTTGAAAAATAAAATTTTCTGTCTTTATTTGATCAAAAGTGATGTTTAAACTGTGTTTTGTAATAAAGTTGCCATAGATTAAGAATGCGGAATGTCATTAACCCCCCCCCCAAAAAAAAAAAATCTAGACTTTGGCAGAAGATTGAAGCCTGCATGATGTTTTTAACCGTTAGATAGCGTTTAACATGATTTCATATAAAAGGAAATTGAAAAAACGAAAAATTCTAATTGCGTAGTTTTTTTAGGAGCCTCTTTAAATCCAAACTTGAATTACAATGATTATTGTAGATTGGATGGCGAAAATTGACAGTTTACCAAAATTCTTAATTAAATAAAAAAAAAATGAAAAGGTAAAAATCAATATTATTGATTAACATTTTCTAAAGCATTGATTGCTTACAGAACTCAGAATTTGGTATTGAATTCATGAATGAAATTTACATTTTTAAAATTTTAATTTGACAAAAGATATTGACCCAAAGCCAATTTGTCAAAAGATTTAACTTGCAAATTTAATTTTGATCTTTTAAGATTTTAAAAATACCTCAGAGGCTAAATATGAACCAAAACCTCAGGTCCATCGCGACCATTCGTTATTCAGTGGTCAAAAATATGCAAAATTAAATGATTAAATTGGATCGAAATTATTATTTGTTTCGCAAACTGTATTAAAGAATGATATCGTATTTCAAATAGTCTGAAAAATACATAAAAAGTTTATTCCACATTTTCCAATCTTTATTAGTAAATAATTAGAAAAAAATTAAAGGCCCATATTTTTCAAACCCAATTGCACTCTTTTGAATCGTGAGTTTTGTACTTTTTGAACCAGTAAAATAACAGAATAATATTTTTTACATAAATCTGCCAAATCTGGTATTTACTCAACTCTCAGTCTCCCCTCAGTCATTATAAATTGATACGTAAGTATTAATGTCCAATCAGTCGTGATATAGTACGTGAGCAATATAGAGTTTATTGGCATGGGAGTCTCTATATAAACAACAGGGTGAGGTTTGTGTTTACATATTTTGTAGATTTGGAAAAAATGTATTTTTTTTACATTTTTTGAGCTTGCATCAACATTTCGGTTTAGTAAGAAGAACAGAAATAGGTATATTACTATATATCGAGAACTTACTTTTTTTTCAGAAATCGTTTTTACAGTTTGTCAGTGATTGCAAAATACAAGAAGGAAAATATCGTTTTGAAAAATAGTAAACTTCGTTAACCTTTTTTTTCAAATTTTAAAATAATTAATTTTTTTAAAAAAGTTTCTGTTTTGTTTTAAATTTGTAACAAAACTTCTTTTTCTTTTTTTTTGTTTCAAACACAAACATTCTTCTTTTTGCTTTGAAACGAAAACTGAATAAAACTTATTTTAGTTTTAAAATGGTTTGGGGGGGGGCGGTTTTACATCCCTCCAGTGGTTTTTTCTAAATAACTAAAAAAATTTATTTTGAGGAATAGAGTAGGTTGGAGGACTTTTTTATTAATCAAGCTACAGGGCTAAAATTTACATATTTGAAAATTCAAAATTTAAAATATTTATTTCTAAACCTTTTTCCGACATACTTTTTTTAACTTTTTTAAAATCCTCCCTTGCACCATAACATGACCCTAACCATTAAAGTAAGAGATCCATTTTTTATGATTAGGCAAAGGACAATTTATCACACTCCCCTATCTCAAAATCAAAGAGGGGGGGGGGGTTATTAGACAAAAAATAGCTCAACCGGGAATCGGGATAGGGTTGAAGGATTTTCGGAGTTTCAAGATTTATACACATATCAACTTGAATTTCTAGTGCGTCGGCCATTTTTAATTAAAATAATTTTAAAACATTTAGAAAACTTTTTTCTCGAGGAACATACATGGGAATACAGTGACGAATTCGATATCGTCTTTATAAATAATTCTTTGATTTAGTGATACCTACTGAGAAAGCTGTATTCCGTAAGAATTTTGTCTGTTTTGTTTACAATTTTTTTGTTTATGTTTTGACTGCATTTGATTGTACTTAGTAAAACAAGAAAATTAAAGAATAACAACAGAGTAAACTTGTCCGTCTTCACTGCTCATCTTGCGGAGACATTATAGACACATCTTTACAGTCTTTTACCCTTTTCATAAATAAACTCTAGCAGACATGATAATAGTATAGCTTTTAAAATGCTATTTCATAACAATTAATGTACATAGGGAAAGCTTAAGCTAATAAATTACACCACCTTTCCGCGGTTGTTTTTTAAATTCGGCCTTTAACTTTATATTTTAGTTTTAAATTTCAACATGGATTCTAAAAAAATTTATTGTTGGTTTTCGCTTATTTAAATTTTCGTTTTTCGTTTTTAAAACACAAAACGGTTGTTTTGTTTTGATTGGTTTACTAGTGTAACAAAACAATCTCAAACGCCCTAAAAGTTTCGCAGAATTATATTTTTGTTTAAAATATCAATTTTTTTTACTTTTAAAAGCTTCCTCTCAATTTTATTTTTTAAATAAAAACAAAAATTAAAAAAGTACCAATATTTCATTTTTGTTTTTATACACACATTTAAATATGCACATGTGACATGATCATATCCTGTCCTTTTTCAGATTAGAATGAGACAAATCCTGATTTTTTGGAGTCTCAGGCTATCTTGCCATGCCTCTGAGTGGGGATACTTTGGAGAGAACGGTAATTGGCATGAAACTGATAAAATTGACAGTTTTAAACCTGTTTTACAGCTTATTCCATTTATATCATGATAATATAATTTAAAATGTACAAAAGAAAAAAAACTTTTTAAATTATCATTTATATTTTGAGAATTTCAAAGTAAATTGGGTTTACACCACCAGGTTGCAAAGTTAAAGGGTTTAAGAATTACAGTTTGTGACAAGTTTCTTTATTAAGGTAATGTGTTGGTTCGCTTTTGGGCCGTTTTTTGACCCTGACAGAAGATATGGATATAACAATCCAAAATTGATTCAATATTAATCCAAAAACGATCCAAAAACGATCCAAAAACGATCCAGAAACGATACAATAACGATGCCGAAACGATCGTTTTTGGATCGTTTTTCCATCTTTTCTTTTTTCAATATAAAGATATTTCAAAGTTCAATAAAATAAAACTTTAACATAATGCAATTTTGAAATCTTGGAATTTTTAAGAATTTAATGATTTTTATGATCCAAAAGATTAACAGCATTACAGGGAGTAACGAATAACGATGTGCCTTTTCTAGTCAGGTAGGGGGGGGGGCATTTGCCGTGTCCCCTTTCTAGTCAGGTAGGGGGGGGGGAGCATTTGTCGTGTCCCCTTTCTAGTTTGTCACCTCCCTAAATTTTAGATCCAACCCATTGGAGTGAAAGTGACGCAGAATGTGGAGGTTTGAAACAATCCCCCATCGACATAGTAACACAGGAATTGAGTCATCAATCATTTTATTGCACTATTACACATTGATTAGTTGCGCAAAAATAACACAGCATTGCAAAATAGTGCATATGTACAAAAACTTATTTATTTAAGAATTTTAAAAATTGTTTCTAATAAATGTAATACATGAGTGTAAACACAAAGTTTTATTGATTTTTATTGAGAGAAAATAAAGATATTAATCTAATTGTTTTGTGTTTTGCGGAATTTTTTTTTCTCTTAATTATATTTCACATGTCAATGTTCTTAAAAATTTATTCTTAAACCTTATTAAAGAAGTAAATGCAAGATAGGCCTCAGAAACCAGGGGAATTGAATGATTATTGTGTCATGAATCATACATGTAAAAGTAGGGTGACTAATAAATACAGCAAATTATTACACAGATCAACGACGACGTTTAAGTCGTCTTGCCACTGTCATGTTTTGTAGGACACCCTGTACTTTTTTTGAAATGAAGATTCTCAAGATATTTGTAGGATATTGTTTACGCAAAGTTGAGTGATGTGGTTTTCCATAACTTTTCAGGATCAACTCAGGAAAACTGAGATGGATTTTTAGAAAACAACTATTTTGACAATAGGTTTTTATACGAAATCGACGAAAATTTTGGTTGATTTTAATCTTTCTCGCATCCTCAAAAACGATTATACGTACTATTTGCATGTTCAAATTAATTCAACGTTCAATCAATGCTGGTACAATTTTGAATCACCGATTTAAAGTTGAAAATTAAGGAAGAATTTGAATTGATGATTCAAATTTGAACCGACGAAAGGCAGTTAAAATCTATTAAATTCGGTCCCACACATCCTGAGCTTCATGCTATGCTGTAGTAAGTGATGTAAATAGATTAAAAATACGCTTTATGTTGCAATAACTCACGAATTCAATAAAAAAGTCCACATGAAGTCGTCTTTAAAGATTCATCCTTTTATGGGTAACCATGTATATCTTTATTTTCCATCTCAGCTGTTTATACTGCAGGAACCAGTAAAAGTGTCAAACAATGGGCATACACTGCAGGAACTCAATCAGATGAATAAAAGACACTTTTTTAGATTTTAATTTGTTAAAGGGTCTGTATAGTAATTACAAGAGACCTTCCATTTTAAAACGAGTATCCTAGATTCAGAACGGTACCAATTAAAACTTTTAGATGTTGAAGGATGTTAAGCCGGTTCCGATATGTTTCTACTCGATAAATAGACGAAGGTTTCAAAAGAACCGTTGTAAATCGGACATTGCCCTCTTTGTATGGAGGGTCACTTGAATCTACGCTTACAGTCCCTCTAAATACTGTGCTTCCCACTTTATCCATGATAACTTTTTGACACATAGTCCGATGACATGTCGTCTTCTTAACACTTTTTGCGACAATAATTTTATTATCAATTTTATGAGCTATGTCGCTACCGACGGTTCAAATCTTTAATCACCGATTCAAAGGTTACTAGATTTATAAGAATTTGAATTGGAGATTCAGGATTTGAATCGGCGGGGGTGCAGGTATTAGTTCAGCGACATCTCGGTCTTCAATTCATTAAATTTGTACCCTGGCCCTGGCATATTTAAATGTTTTCATGGCTTTTTTACAAAATGTATTCTAAGGTATCGAGGAGCAACAACGATCATTATAAGTCAACTCTCAATTATCATTGGCTGGAAACAAACAAAGAACACCTAAATTTTTATTTGAAATCAATCTAACCAATACCTTTTTCTCATAAACGCTTATTTGAAATCAATCTAACCTATACCTTTTTCTCATAAACGCTTATTTGAAAGGATCGGTATGGAATATATTGATTTAACTATTCGGTAATAAACAGCTTGAAAAATATAAAACATCCATCCCATTTAAGCTCTTTTCTCATATTTATGTTAGCTATACCTGAGTCGGAATTTAAAGAATTTGAGCCGCGTCTCAAATCCGCCAAAAACTGGTTTCAATTGAGCGCCGGCTTAAATCTTGAAACATTGAATCCAATTTTATGTGGAACCAATCATATTTGAGCCGCGTCTCAAATTTAAGCCGCTGCTCAAACTCTTGAAATTCGGCCTCTGGCCCAACGGGCAATGGCTCGACAAATTTGCTAAACAAATTTTAGGGACCCCATAGTATAAAACAAACAAAAAATCGTTTTTTATAAATCCAAATTACAAAAGTTTTTTAGATTCCTAGGCCAACGCCGGGCACTTAATTTAGTAGACTCCAAATTTTACAGTGATTAAGTTTTTACCACTGCAGATACAATTCTTATCTCCTGCTTCCTATATAACTGCTTCACATTATCAGGTAGACAGTTTGCGAGTTTAAAATGATCTAAAGCTTTTTACTAACATAACCATGGAGCTTTCAGAGCTCTTCGTGCTTTTTTTATTTCAACTTTGAGCATCTTCTCTTTGTACAATATTAAACAATAGCAAAAAAAGTTCGCTGAATTTATAACATTTTCCCGCATTTTCAAAGTTTTACAAGAATCGAAACTTTTTGGCGCAATAATTTCGTAGTTTAGAGCATCCATAACCCTTCTTTCGGGTCATGTGAGGTCCCACGCAAAATTTGGGTCCGATAGGTTCAGCAGTTTATTTGATACAAATAGACAAGCAAACACCCACCCATACAAGCAAAGTATTTAGATATATAACCAGAGGTTTATAACCCAACATTCTTATTTACATAGGAAATGGTTTGCACAGTATTATTAGTATTGAAGGTTTAATACTGTTCTTATCCAGGAATTGTATTATCTAAAACAAGTTCATTTTCATTGGGGATCTTCAGACTTGATGGGTTCAGAACATACTATAAATGGGCAGAGGTAGGAATTATTTTTAGACAAAACAAATTGACGTACAAATAATTTCTATTTTTAGATTTTGTGGAAATTTTATTATTAACATGAATTGAACATTTTCTGGTTTTTTAAAATCTCAAGTGGATTAAACCTATTCTTGGAACGTACTTTGCTTTAAAAAATTAAATCACTTTTATAAAAATAAACATATTTTACAATAAATTTTTTGACATTTTTACCTAAAAGCTTAGTCTGATCAAGTATGAATTAGAAGTTAAACCTCAATGTTTATGTTATTTAGTTTGTTTATTCTTATTTATGGTTTCTCTGTAAAAGTGACTTGCGCATTTTTTGTTTTTAACAACAATTAAGAAATGATAAGAATTGAACAGTTTTGGAGAAAAAACGACAAAGTCTCCCGCGGTTTTGATCAGAATAAGGGTTTAATCGAGGGTACCATTTTAAATCAGGCAATGCCATCTTTGCTTAGAAGGTCACTTAAAATTACGCTTACAGTCCCTTTCAGCGTTCAACTATATATTTTTCCTTTAGGTTTAGTATGGAGATGCATGCTGTACATATTCAACCTGAAAGAGGAACAATAGTTGTCATCTCGAAAATATTTAAAGCTGTCCAGGTTATTAATAGAACACCCAAACCCAACGACAGGGTGTCCCATTATACTTTAAACAGCTATTACTCAGTTTTCGGATTTTGTACAATCAGTCAAAAAATTGAGGAAACGTAATATGGAGGTTTTGTAACATAAGAAAAAATCCGCGAACTGTATTGCAGGAAAATACTCCAATTCAGTTTTCCTATTCAGGCCATTTCCTGAAAATGGTATTTTCTCAACAAACTCGGTTTTTGATTATACAAAACTATTCACTAGCTGAAGGTCACCCCACTCTAAAAGTTGCATGATCCCAGTGTAGAATCTTCCGAGCACGTTTTATGCAACAAATATAGCCTGACAAGATCAACGTGAGTCTACCAGTGAATCACAAACTGGATTAGACTGTCCCTCACTAAAGATACTTTAAGAGGATGAAAAAAAATGTCAAGGCCAAGGGTTTGATCTAAGACCTATGATGCAAGAAGATGGCCACTATTTATTAACACCTGTTGTTAAGCCAGTTATAAAACAGAACTTTAATAAGTAAAGAATAACATTTTTTAAAGATGTATCCAACATTATATTTTGGTTATAACTATGAAATTGTCTGAATTAATGGGACACCTTGTATCATTGTATGTACAGTCACATATGCCAAGTTGGGACACCTTGTATCATTGCGTGTACAGTTACATATGCCAAGTTGGGACAACTTTAATTTTCTATTTTTCATTATTGAAGTATTTTAATTATTGTTCATAAAAAAGAAATATAAAAACATGCATTTATTTCTAGAAAGAAATTTTCATACAAACAATATTGAATTAATGAATTTTTGAGATTAATTACAGCTAAAAATCAAGCAAATAGCAATAAATAATTTACTTTTTAGGCTCGGCATGGAACTTTAGATGATCTTCTAAGAAATGTTATAGGTATTTTTATCTACTTAAACTTAGATACCATGACCACACTTGTATGCGATTTCATTAGTGCTTGATCCAATCAGGGTTCAGTCATGTGTTTATTGTCTATTTTGAACCAATAGAAATAGCATGGCAGTATTATCTATCTTTAAATCTCATTATCCATTTAGGGATGAATCCCTAACATTTAGCTAGCGCTAAACAGTATTATAATTATTTTTATTATTATTATTATTATTTTACTATTTTTTTCAGAATATGCTTGGTTTTTCATAATACCTGTTCTATTTAGTGCTATTTATTTAGACTTTTTTTGAGAATATTTACAAAAAAGAAATATGTTTTTTTTCAGATCTTGCAATTGCTTATGTGCCATACAAGGATTCCTATGATACTACTCTAGATCTATCCAGTCATAATATTGAAACTTTTCTTGGGATAGGTATCTGATACAAGATTTATTAAAGCATATTATCATTTGACCCTCCATGCAAAGATGGCAATGCCCGATTTACAACTATACCGTTTAAAAGCAAACATTAGTTATCAATTTTTTTGTTTTTACAAACTGTTCGTTAATGGTCTACTCCTGTATACCGAGTCCATTAGCGCCTGATCCAGTCGGGGTTCAGCCATGGAAATATTTACTGAAACTATAGTGGGTCAGCTAAAATCGTTCAAAAGACCAACTTTTACGGGTTTTGGTGTTGTCTTCCGAACGAAGACAACACGGGTTTTGCTGCTCGTTAATAGGATCGTCTTTTAATTTTTAAAAACTTTCCGTTCCTTAACGGAATCTTGCCCAGCCCTAGTTTGACCGGGCAAATGTTTAGTAAATGTGAATTTTCTATTGGTTAATACACGTTTAGTTCAGTATAAACTGAAAATGGTTCTTTTCAGATGCGAATTTTTCAGATTTTCTTAATGTCTCTAGCTTTTTTCTTTAAACCTGTGTCTAAGCAAAAATTATATTTTCAATTGTGGTTTCTCTATAAAAATGACTTTTTGCTCCACATTAGAACAATAGAAAATTGTAAGATAAGAATAAAAAACGTGTGAATCGGCACAGCCCTCTTTAAATGTAGGGTCACTTGAGAGTCTCTTTAAGCCAAAAAAGGTTAATTTTGCTTGAATAGGTCCTGAAAATTTGATGAGAAATTACTGTTCATATCAGGGATCATTAACAACTCCACCTTGTTCAGAGGTAATACAATATATACAGTTATACAATACAATATAAACAATTATTCAATACAATATATACAATTATACAATACTATATATACAATTATACTGAGCAATATATACAATTATACAATTCAATATATACAATTATACAATACAATATATACAATTATACAATACAATATATACAATTTTACAATACAATATATACAATTATACAATACTATATATACAATTATACAGAGCAATATATACAATTATACAATTCAATATATAAAATTATAAAATACAATATATACAATTTTTCAGAACTATATATACAATTGTACAATTCAATATATAAAATTATACAATACAATATATACAATTATACAGAACAATATATACAATTATACAATACAATATATACAATTATACAATACAATATATACAATTATACAATACAATATATACAATTATACAGAACAATATATACAATTATACAATACAATATATACAATTATACAAAACAATATATACAATTTTACAATTCAATATTGTACAAAATACACTTTTCATTAATTGAGTTTTATTTGTATTTGTTTAAGTTGTAAACAATCCTACGGACACTGTAGACAAAATTTAAATGATATCTCATGTCCCATCTGCAACAGTACAGTACCTTTTTAACCTTTATTTTATCATTAACAATATTTAAGTTTCTTATTTTTCTTGGAAAATGTATGCTGGGAATATCGAGTGTAGTGTAAAGTGTTAACTTTGGGCGAATTACGTATGTTGGTTTCCGAATGAACAACCAAAGGTTTAAAGGGTACCATTGTGAATTTGAAATGGCGGGTCACTACACACTAACAACAGTCTCTTTAATGTTTTCAGATAGTTACCTGGTTACTTGATTTCGAGATTGGGTCAATTTCAGAGAACAAGGTATGTAGTGTACTGAACACTGTACAGTGTACACTGGACACTGGACACTGTAGACTGTACACTGTACACTTTACACTGGACACTGGACACTTGACACTGGACACTGGACACTGGACACTGGACCCTGGACACTGGACACTGGACACTGGACACTGGACACTGGACACTGGACACTGGACACTGGACATAAGCGAAGTAGAAATGAGAGGATAAGCCTAAAATATAGAAACTAGTAATCTTAAATCCACCTTTTTTACAAAGTTTAGTTTTTCATAACAATAAAAACTGAAGGAGCAAACAATTTTTTAAATTAAGTTTTTCTTATATTTTTATGAAAAAATGGTTGGGAAACGAGCGTATCTGGACACTGGACACTGGACACTGGACACTGGACACTGTACACTGTAGAATGTAGACTGTACACTGGACCCTGGACACTGGACACTGGACACTGGAGACTGTACACTGGACACTGGACACTGGACACTGGACAGGGTTACCTAGAAAGGATCAGGCTTAAGAGACGACTGTAGGGAATTTTTACAGTCTTTGTTCTTATCCTAGTTCCCTGCATTTTGTAAGATTGTCTTTACCAAATCTGATGTTATCAAAATATCATATATCAAAATATATTTTAAGGGAGTGTTCCCGGAAAATGCTTGGGGGTATAAGATGACGTCGAATTGAATTCTATAATTATCGCTACTAATTGTATAATATCTGTTGCAGTCATAAGGAGAATAATATGGCTTAAAGCATCTTATACCCAAGAGCATAACGTCCAGACAAATTCACTAGATTGCATAATTCCACTCATGGGTCGGAATAATTCAATTAGATTTATAACTAATTATTCATATATTACAACCTACTATTGTCGAATTTAATTCGATGCACGCTAATATGATAGATATTTCATAATATTTTTCATTTGATAAGATCCGAGTGTTACTTTTGAAAACATTCATTCCTTAAAAGTGGTGGTTGGTCTCGGGACATGGGTATTTGTTCCACTAATTAATTGTTGAAAAATAAGACTTTACGCTAAAAATAGGTGTAAAATTCTACAAACATTCAACAAAAATATTTTTATCGCAATCGTTAAAGAATTACCCCTTTAAATCACTTATATTTCAATAATAAGAATAACTTTTTAATAAACTCCCGACAACATAGCTCGTAAATCAATAAATCATGTAACATCTTACATCCCAGAAAACCAAGGAAGTTCATTGACAGGATTTTTACCCAGGCATATTACTTCTTGTAGTTATATCCAACATGAAAATTTATTTAAAGTACAACTACAGTTATGGAAAATGACAATTATAAAAAGTGTACAGACCTTGGTTGGTATAATTCTTCCTTTTTAGCCACCAATTAGTAATATAGTAATATATCTAGGTTTATGTATACTTATACTTTTCAGTAAAAACTATTCCAAGAATTGTTTAACCAGCAGCAATATTAACAAAAGTACTTTTCAAATGACCCTCTATTTGCTGTATAGGATGCATGATTCATAACGGTTTCCTTAAAAGCTTTATCTGATGAAGAATGAATGACAAAAGAAATTTGTTATTTCTCTAAATATCTATGACTTGGAGATTTCTCGAGGAAATTACTAGAATAAAGCTCTTTTAAGCTAGAAAAACGACAATATCTTCTATTATGGATAAGTTTTGAAGGGTCACTTAAAACCTAGTCTACAGAGCCCGAAATTTTAGTTTTCTTAAATGATATTCTCTTAAATTTCTGCTTCATAAGTCCCTCTTAGAGTACACTGTATTTACCATTGTTGCTAGTTTCAGAGGTTCTTGGACGTTACTTTTCCATTCTTTTCTAACAGCAAATTAGGTTAATGAGTTCCTGGCCCTAAGAAAACAATACCTTACAAAGGATCTCTCTTTTTTATGATTAATAAGTAGTGACATAAGTGGTAACATATGCTAAAAGAATTGATTAAAAAAGATTTCATCGGCAACGCCTGCCGGGCACTCCAGCTAGTAGTTTATATATATTCTAACCCCATCTGCATAGATATAAATACTTTGTTTGCTTGTTTGTTTAATTGTTTGTATCCAATAAATGTAAAAACCGATCGGACCCATTTTTTGTGGGACCCCAGAATTTTATTTTAAATTTAACAAATTTGCCTGAAAAAAATAGATTTTCGAAATCCACGAAATCTTTTTTGTTGTTGATATTTTTAAAAGAAAAATTGCTGCAGATAGAACAACAATTAAAAGTTAAAATAGAAGATTTGGGCGCAAACGGCCTGGGAAGCCTAGTATTCATTTAATTTTTGAAACTAGACAAATTCTTGTTGGTGCAAAGAGAAAAATGAACGTTTACAAATTTAAAATCCCATTTTGGAAATTTTTAGGACGTATTTAAAAAATATAATTTTAAAACCTGCTTAGCACCCTTCCTTAAAAATAATGGTTTGAACATTTAAAAAAAATAAACTTTAATGCATTTCTTGTCACTTCACTGAATACTTCAACTGTATCCACCCTGATAGGTTAGTTTTATCACGTTTTGCTTGTATATTTATTTTGATAGAAAAAATAATTTGATTGTTTCAGTTGAATGAGCTGAGAAGTTTGCATATTGAAAGTGCAGATAATTTACTAGTGAACAACTTCAGGGAAAATAACATGATGAAATACATTTTTTGGAAATTTTCTTTATATTTTGTTTTTTGCTAAAAGGTAGTGGGGAGACTGTTTAAAAGAACAAAATCTTCCCTGTCGCTTGTGTTGGTCGGAAAGGGAGAGTTCGCAAAAAATTAAAGGGGGTATAGAGTCTTACGGTGAAAAATAAGCACTTTTGATCGCTACTAATCTTACTCCTATCTGTTGTATTTATAAGAAGAAAATTTGTTAGAACGACTCGGAACGAAGTACGTTGAGTCCATACAAATTCAACATTCCACTCGGATCGTAAAATAATAAATTTAATTACAAATAAATTATTCAGATATTACAACCCATAGTTATGGATAGTTTTTCGACGCATTCATGCATAGTTAATATTTTATAATATTTTATAATATTTCTTATTTTTTATGATCTGATCGTTACTTTTGAAATCATTTGTTCCTGTTTCGTGGATTTTTGATAATGAAAACGACATTTTCATACTTTCCTGGAATGTTCGAAAATCCAGCGCCAACGAAATATTATTTAAAAAAAAAGAAGTGTTTGCGCACCATTAAAGGGAATATAGGCTGATATCGAATTGAATTCGATGTCGATCACTCTGTAACTAATTTTACTACCTAATTTATACCCCCTTTCATTTTTCGCGAACACTCCAAAATACATTCTACTAAAAAAATCAGTTAAAAATTAGAATAATTTTCTTACATGGTTGCATTTAGGGTAAACCTAGCTCCAGTAAAGATTTTTATTCTCCTTTTTAATATTTCTTCAATAATTTCACAAAATTAAAGCAAAATCAATTTGGTTAAAATTTAAATTCCAACCCTTTAAAAATGTGTACTTTCAAGCTCTTTAAAAGGACTATAAGCGTAATTTCAAGTGACACTGCATGCATGCAAATATGGTTTCCTTAAATCTTTATCTGATCAATTATGAATTAGATATCTATAATATTTCAGTTTCTTTAAACTGCTTATTTTCAATTACGATTTCCCAGTAAATGTGCATTTCTTGCTTAAAAGAAATAAAGAAGAAATTTACAAAAATAACACTTTTCGATCCAGAAAAAAACACCATTTTGATCATGTAAAATCCATGGAGGGTTTTTTGAAATTATGCTTACAGTCTCGTTATAAAATCATGCTATTTATTATTTATGTAGAGACACACAACCCTTGAATGGAAGAAAGGTGTATTGTCAGAAATACTGGTGATTCAAGTTTTTATCTGCAGAAGATAATGATGATTGACAGAACACTATAAATAAGAGTACACTAAGTACACTATAACTGCAGCAGATTACTATAACTGGCAGAACACTATAATTTTAAGAACACTAAAACTGGCAGAACACAATAGCTTACAAAACACTATAACTAGCAACACATTAACTGGTAGAACGCTGTAACTGGCAGTACACTATAACTGGCAGTACAATACAACTGGGATAGCACTGTAACTGGCAGTACACTATTACTGGCAGTACAATACAACTGGGAAAACACTGTAACTTGCAGTACACTATAACTGGCAGTACAATACAACCGGGAAAACACTGTAACTGGCAGTACACTATAATTGGTAGTACAATAAAACTAGTAGAACACTGTAACTGGCATTACACTAAAGTTGGCAGTACATTATAACCAGTAGAACACTGTAACTGGCATTACACTAAAGTTTGCAGTACATTATAACTTGACTTTTTCGGCGTTGTAATAATAAAAAATAATCCTTGTAAAATAAATAATCTTCAAGCAAGTGTGTTGCGAGTTATAGTTTTAGACTTTTCATGATCTAAATTAATATTCTAAAATTTTGAGTAAGACACACAGTTTGTTAGCAATTAAAAGATAAAAATAGATATAAATAACTGTCGAATTAATTTCTGCGTATAAATCTTTAGAACCCAAGTTGACCGATTATTCAGGTCAAACCTTCCTTACATTTTAGTATTAAAGAAACTTAACATTAAATCAAGTTAACAACAAGGAAATATATAGTTGTCGATAATGAAGCAATAATGTATTATGAATAACCCTGTACTATATTTTTGTAATCGTAATTGTTATCTAACAATATAAATAAGACTGATAAGTGCTCTGGCATTAGTTCCATCAGAAGATCCAGTCTGACTGCTCCATCCTGGCTGCTCCAGTCTGACTGCTCCATTCTGGTTCAATTCTTCTCTTCCCTGCTTTCTTCATCTCTGTGGACTCAAATAAACTACTACAACCTATGATATATCTTCTGTTCTCCTGTTTTTCCATGTTCCAATAAATCTTTGAATTCGCCCCAACGCAACAAGTGATGATTAAGTTGAAGGGGCATGTCCGATTAACAACCCTCCGCTTTAAATCATTGTTTAAGCAATAACTATGCTATATATTCTTGATTTAACTTTTTAAAAATTTTAATTTCTTATTAAAATAAATAAAACAATTTTTAAGATAGAAAAACGTTCATATCTTCTTCACAGTGGCTCAGATAAAGGTACTGTTGTGAATCAGTCATGCTACTCTTAAAAATGGAGGGCACTTGAAAGTACGTCTACAGTTCTTTTGTTAATTAAAAAGTTTTAAAAGAAAAACATTATTTGATAATACAAGTTCTTTTTATGTTTTTCGAAGCAAAGATTTTGATAATAATTTTGGATTTGATATATTTTTTATTATGTTTTTCCTCATATAAAATATTTCATCTATATATAAATTTGGCTTGTCTTGTCTGTTTGGGTGTCTGTCTGTTTGTTTGTTTGTGTCCAATAAACGTCAAAACTGCTAAACCGATCGGGCCAAAATTTTTTGTGGGACATCACGTGACTAGAGGGAAGGTTTATGAATGATAAAAATTTTAAAAAATGTATTTTAAAGGTTTTTAATTTTGTAAAAAATTTAAATTCTTGAAAATCCGCGATTTTTTTTTAAATCCTTGCAAAATTTTTTTCTTCTTTGTTTTAAAATGTAAACAAAAAGAACATTTTCACAATTTAAATAGAAGATGGGCACGAAGCGCCCTAAAAGCCTAGTATTTTAAGTACTGCTATAAGCGAAGTAGAAATGAGAGGATAAGCCTAAAATATAGAAACAAGTAATCATAAATCCACCTTTTTTTACAACCACAGTTTAGTTCTTCAAAACAATAAAACTGAAGGAGCGAACCATTTTTTTTAAATTAGTTTTTCTTATATTTTTATGAAAAAATGGTTGGGAAACGAGCGTATTAAATTATGCAATTTAAAGTTTTTCTATTTAAAAGTCAGCCTATTTAACTTAGTTTTAAACCAAGCTAAAACTATTTGAGGCAAATCTGTCGATTGGTTCATGAGTTAAAATCGGACATATTCAAAAACTAGTCAAATGTAGGTTTTAAAGATGAATTTAACTATACATATATACTATATACAAAACGAGTTATTTGGTGTAAAGCCTTAAAAGATAATTAGTATCATGGTTTTGACCCTGCATTCTTACACAAATACTCACGTAATAATTCTGTAATCCTGTTTTTGTCAAGTGCGCATAAAAACACTACTTAAAGGTCTAAACTGAAGATATAGGGTCGGAATCTGCAGTAAGGCTGTTTTACACTCTTGCAGTATTGACGTTTAGCTTCTACATTTCACTCAATAATTGGCAAAACGTACCAGAAAAAGCATAATTTTTATCTTTTTTGATCGTTTTATGCTCAAGATAATATTTTCAATGCTTACTTCCCGTAATATCCTACCATTTTTAGAGCTTTGAAGAATAACACTTTATGTCTAAATGGCGTTTTTAAGAGCAATTGTTAAAAAATGGGAATACGGAATTATTAGATGAGAATTTATATAGTAATACAGGGGCAAAACTTAGATACTCAATTATCTGTTTAGAAAGTACACCAAATATTTCGTTCTCTTCATAAATCTGTTACCTAAGGTACCAGGGAGAACCCTGAAACTTCTGCTTTATGGATGGTCCAAGGAATTAAGTCTTTGCCACAAACTCTAGTTATCTAATTCCCCATATCTTTGCAACCTGATGGTGTAGACCTTTGATGTTTCAAACAGTAAATTATCTGATCTAGTTTAAAATATCTCAGACAAATTCATAATTTGAAATATCTAAGGCTTATGAAATTGGGTTGCAAAGATATAGGGATTAGAAAATCAGTGATTGTGACAAAGACTCGATTCCGTTGCCAAACTTCGATAAAAAAATTTGTCGACATTTAAAAAAATCAACAAATTCAAACAGAAAAGTCCGCGCACATTTGTATTTATTTGAGAACGATGAAAAAATTGTGACTGGAAAAGCTAAATATGTTTTTTTAACTAGAAAAGGGCCTTTTATTACACACAGGAGTAAATGCGTAATTTCCTCTCCACCTATTCTCAAAATGTAATACGTATTGTTTATAGATAAAATATTTATATATTTAATTTAGTAGACAAATACGCGCAAATTCAAGTTGATATTTGGTTTCCAATATATTATTGTTTATTGAAATTTATTAAGACTAATTAGTACAATATATACTTACAATACACATAGAACATATATACAATCTTTTGTTGATCGTTAAACATTTGATGAAGCAAGAAAAAAAGTTTATCCTGCAAATCTTGGATTAAAAATATAAGAGATCAAACAAATCTTTTAGTAAGGGAAAAATGTGAAAAATAAATAGATGTGTTTTTTATGAAAAGCACTATAAAGCGTAATTTCAAGTGACCCTCTATGCGAAGATGGCAACGTCCGATTTACACCGGTACCCTTGAAGCCTTTATCTGATCAATAATGTGGAAGATATTGTCGTTTTTCTTGTTTAAAAAAGGGGTCAATTCTGATAATTCTGATATGTTTTCCTGCAGTAGCAATTCGCAAGTAATTTTTGTTGAAAAACAACAATTGAAAATAATCATTTTTTCAAAATATAAACATTGATATCATTAAAAATTCATAATTCATACTTAAGATCTGACAAAATGGTAAAGTTTATTGTTGTGAATCGGACTTATCATGGAGGGTCAATTAATACTTCACTTGCAGGCCCTTTAAGGAAAATATTTTGGTTCAATCAAACCAGAGTGAAATGGTTTCCAGGAAAAATAAAAAATCCCCCCTCCCCCCCTTAGAAAAGGAATTGAATTATTGCCACATACTTAAATGGTTCGAATCCCTATATCTTTGTAACCTGTAGGTGCAAACCTTTTATATTTTAAACTTAGATTATTTGATTTTACAAAATTCATAGTTTGAAATATCTCAGGTCTACGACTTTGGGTTTCAAAGATACAGGGATTACAATATCAGAGTTTGTGGCAAAGTCTTATTTCCTTTCCTGTGTATAAACCTTAAACAAAACTGAAATGTATCGGAAAACAATAATAAATAAAAATTCAAAAGAGAAAAAAAATTATATAATTTATTAGTAAAAGGTTTCTAACTTCACCAATCACCACATAACATAGAGTAAAAGTGAATTAAAAAAGGCTTTGAAACGCCTTGGATTTTGATTTTACATCACAAAGTCAGCTGTAACTTTGTTGTAGTCCTAGAAATTGCATTTTAGCTATAGCTTTGAAAGAGTGACTAACAAAATTTTCATTCAGTGATAGACGATTGTATCAATACAATGAAGACGATTATTTTATTTAAGTTTTGATTGTTAGCAAGTCTTTCTCGGATTACAAGTTTACATGGAATCAAAGAGAAGCTTTTTAAATTGACAGCTTCTTTTGAATTCCATGTTTAAGTGTATCAATGCTGTTGAAATCGAAAGTCGTCTTTATGGCATTGATATAATCGCCTACCACTGTGTGAGAGCTTGCACCTAAGGAGCTCTATTTGAACTAATTCTATTCATGTGAAAATTAGAGGTTTTAACCAATTTTAATTTATTTCATATTAACATTACAATACGTCTAGAGATATTGAGAGAAAATTGGTAATAAATATGAGAAGTTTGGTATTATTAATAATATTTTTCATGGAAAGTTTTACGATACACAATTATCATATTATATGTTACACCCATCAAATAAAGAACTGAAAGTAATGATAATATTAAACAAATCGTTGATGCTATTGGAATTTCAAAATTAAATTGTAAGCATGTGATTTAATGCCAGTTCTGAAATTTTGAATTAAAAATATGAAAGTGACCATAGATATTGAGCTGAGAAGTTTTAAAAATCGTTGTTTAATAGATCATTATCGCAATACAGGGTTTTAAATTTTTTCTCACAAATTAATGAATTTTTATTTATGGTAAGAAATAAGTGTAGATTTATCAAAAAATGTTGGTGATGTTCTAGAATTCTACTTCTACAGGGTTGTATAATCTGTAGTATGCCAACCAACCACTTTAGCAATCTGAACAACGGCAATACCACCCCAACCTCTTCGCTCGCTGTCGTCTTCCCTCAACCCCCTGCCAACCCCTCCATATTGAACCTCCACATTCCAAAAATTCATTCAGGGAAAGATCATTCATGAACTAAAAGCTTTTGTCAAGCTGTACACCCTCAATCTGGAAGTATTTTTAAATGTTTTAAACTATTCCATCAAACCCTCAAACCCTACGCAAACTAGCAAGATGTATTTTAAATATTTAACTAAATAAATACATTGTCACTCTTATTTTTTACTATACCTGTATTTAATTAAAGGTTTGAAATATATCTATTCTGATTATTGAGACTACTGTGTCCGAGTTAAGGAGCCCGACCAACGAACCTATTGATCAAAGAACCTAGCGACCAACCAACCAACCAACCAATTGACCAACCTGCCAACCTAACAAATTACTATCGACGCCCAGTTAATTACGTTTTTACAATTATACATATTTTTAAACATATACCTTAGTTTAGCCTCTAAATATTTCTAACCCCAATAAAAAATAAGCGTCCAAATTTTTTTATTATTTAAATTGTTTTGATCAGTAAAATGATGGCTTGAAAAAATTAAAAAATTTCATTTTTAAATTCTAATACGATAACAACGTGAAAAAGTACACAACGGGCAGAGGTGCTAAATAAGTTATTTCTAATCGCTAAATACATATTTTAAATGAAAATTTATTGTTAAGTATTTTTCTTTCTTAAACATAACATGTTGACTCTGTACAAGACCTTCCTCTAGTTCACTTTATGTACATTGTTGTACTTGGATCTGGAAAGCAGTATTGTACAAGGAAAAGAAGGTCTAGGATTCCGAATTTCTGATCGATATTTCTCTGTACAATAGCAATAATGGTCTCTTGTGAACAATAAAAAGGGGCGTTTTTTTCTCAATAGAATGCATAATCTGTATCACTTCATGGGACCACATGGCTAAGATTTTGGGCTGAATTTGTTTGGTTCAATTCTTCTTAATTCTTTAAAAAACTCAATTAGAATACAGAAATGTGATCAATCCTTCTTTCGATTTCGATGACATTTTTAGCTATAAAATTGCGCATTTTTGTCGATCAAGGCATAAACAAAATTTGAAAAAACTGTTTTTTTTGTTCAGTATTCTAGCAGTTAATTTTTCAAATATTTTAACCTTCTTAAAAGATTTGAAAAAATAAACCTGGAATTTCATTTCAGACTTTCATGTTAGCTCCAAAAGAAAGAGCTTATGCCTTCTTTTGCAAGAGGAGTCTTTTGTATTGCATCATTCCTGACTGAAAAGATCCAGGTATTCTCTTCTACAGTTGATGTACAATCCTGCNCAGATATACATTAATACTCCTACAGTTAATATATAAATTCGTGCCAACCAACCAGTTTACCATAGTTCCTAGTAAACAGATATACATTAGTACTCCTACAGTTGACATACAATATTAGTGTAATTTTAGGTGCTTTGTATGTCTTTAATTCAAATAATGGACAACAATTTATTCAAACTAAATTTCTAGAATACAACTATCATTATTTGAAAGTACTAAATTTAAGCTTGATACTTTTACCATGGTGTAGACATTGTTAAAGAACATAATCTAGACATGATTGAAATAGGCAATAGAAGAACTCTCTAGATCTTAAAATAATAACACCTATTTGAATGCATAATTATTATTTACACTTAAAACAACACAACGATTAAGATACTATGGTGGGTAATAATGATATGGTGGATATTGAAGAACTTGAAACTTCTCACTTTGCCATCATGTTCGCAATTGATTAGTATTTCAGCCAGTCTCTTTGTCCTAGATCCTGGATCCCTCCGTTTCTTGTCCTCAGAGCTAGCTGGTATAGGATCGGGTCAGCTGGCAGAGAATCAACAATGGATCATGCAGATGGGAGAAGTAGGCGGAATCCCGCGAGGGCCTTAGGGATTAAATATGGTTATTTTATGGTTATTTTCCATGGTTGTTAACACAAATTCGAAAATATAAGGAAGACGATTTTTCCGACTCAAATGCCGTAGCCTTTTCTCTAGATGTATGTATACTCAAGATCCATTTCCGCCATGAAGCCCACATGTAACCCCCGCTTCTTTTAACTCTGCCTTAAATGCAAATATTTCAAAACACCCGGTTTTTTTTATAATAAATGTTAGAAATATCCATTTTAGATCTCTTTATTTTATTATAGTGACTTTTAAAGTCAACATTTTGAAATATTGAAATCTAGGCGGGTTATATCTTGGTTGGTTGGATTTTAAAGTTTCGAATTTGTTTTAATCTTTGTTAAATTAAAATCCCCTTTTAATTTAACCCCAGTAGGGGGTAATGTTAACACAAATTCGAAAATATAAGGAAGACGATTTTTCCGACTCAAATGCCGTAGCCTTTTCTCTAGATGTATGTATACTCAAGATCCATTTCCGCCATGAAGCCCACATGTAACCCCCGCTTCTTTTAACTCTGCCTTAAATGCAAATATTTCAAAACACTTTCTTTAAAATAAATGTTAGAAATATCCATTTTAGATCTCTTTATTTTATTATAGTGACTTTTAAAGTCAACATTTTGAAATATTGAAATCTATCCGGGTTATATCTTGGTTGGTTGGATTTTAAAGTTTCGAATTTGTTTTAATCTTTGTTAAATTAAAATCCCCTTTTAATTTAACCCCAGTAGGGGGTAATGTTAACACAAATTCGAAAATATAAGGAAGACGATTTTTCCGACTCAAATGCCGTAGCCTTTTCTCTAGATGTATGTATACTCAAGATCCATTTCCGCCATGAAGCCCATATGTAACCCCCGCTTCTTCTCCCCCCCCCCTTCTACAGATCCCAGCCCCGGCAGTCAGCTATAAACACTCAAGACATTCACAACTCCATCTCAACCCTGGCTCCTTCATGATGATGATGCAGATACTCAGCGCAACGCACCTGTTGATCTGCCCCACCAACATGAAGCTCTACATCACCCCCCATGACTCCTTCAGGCTGATGATGCAGATCTTGAACTAACAGCAGGCGTGCTTATACCTCTAATCTCCCTATTTACTTCTTGAGAAGCTTACTTAGGAAACTAAAACGGATCTGACCGAAGTTTCCGCTATCTCGAGTTGCATTGCCTTCGATCCATTGATAAGCCCTGTTGTCCCAGTTCCCGGATCTGCTCCACCAACATGAAGCTCTACAACACTTCCATTAAGCGCCATCTAATATCCAGCATTAATTCCTTTGTTAATTTCTAAATCAACCAATTTTAACTCTGCCTTAAATGCAAATATTTCAAAACACTCGGTTTTTTTAAAAATAAATGTTAGAAATATCCATTTTAGATCTCTTTATTTTATTATAGTGACTTTTAAAGTCAACAATGGTATATTACACAAGGTGTGGGCAGAATCCGTTTAGGGACCTAGTCATGCAGTTTTCTATGCTAGGTCAGATTTTGGTTACAATATTCAAAAAATAACTTCTGCCGTCTCAAGCTGTGGAATAAGAAGAGGGCAATACCTGATTAACAACGGTATCCTTGAAAGCTTTGTCTGTTCAAATAAGATAACAATCTTTTTGTTTCCCTTTAAACTGTTTATTTTCATTGCGGTTTCTCTGCAAAAGTGACTTGCGTATTATTTGTTTATTAGAATTAAAGGAAAAACTCACTGAAATAAACACTTTTTGAGTCAGAATTAGAATGTATATTCCAAATTTTTTTTTCAGAGGGTACTGTTGTAATTTGGGCATTGCCAACTTTTACAGTCCGTTTAAACAATTTTCTGAGTACTAACCTTGATAAAGTAGTGGACAAGGAATATTTCCATACCATACTCTCCAACCTTATCCTTGTACAGATACAAGTACATCAGTACACATTCCCGGACAACCCTGAGAAAACAAAGGTTGTTTAGTATAGGCGGTTTCATGGGGGTTGGGGGGCCAGGGGGGTTGGCAGTCCATTAAAAAATCCAGGAGTGTTCCCTCCCCTGGATTCTTACAAAGTCATTACTCCAAAGGCTTTTGACCTGGAACAGGTCATCTATGACCACCTACAGGTTGGTCAAGCTGGAAAGAATGGCGATGCACCCAAAGAACTTGCTGCAATATAGGAGATATGTTGGCGAAGGAGATATGTTGTTGAAGGAGATATGTTACCAGAGGAGATATGTCACTGGAGGGGAAATGTTACCGGAGGAGATATGTTGCCGGAGGGGATACAATGTAAAATATATCTAGCCAAAGGAGGTATCTATAATATATTATTTACCCCCCCCCCCTCCCAATCTTAAATCTTGAAGCCGACCCCTTGTTGTTTATTAAGGTTGCGCTCCAATTTAGGGGAAATGTCGTCTCCAAAGCAATAGACTGTTAAAATAAATCCGTATATGACGTCACTGATGATGGGGTAGTATGTATGTAAAGGGACTAGGGAGACGGTATACGGGTACAACATCAGACCGGCACCGTCTCCATATTCCATAAGCATCACTGCCTTTTTATCAGTGACGTCATTTGGGAAAACACATTTTAGAAAATACCCATCAATGTTTGAATCCCATGAGTTGATTATTCTGTAAAAAAAAACAACCTCAGCGCAAACAAATTGATGACGTATCCCACACTCTGCCTGAAAATAAACTAATCTATTCTTCGAGCTTGGAAAAATGCACAATAAACAAACATAAGTCTTTAACAATTAAAGGGACTGTAAGCGTAATTTCAAGTGATCCTCCATACAAAGATGGCAATGCCCGATTTACAAAGGTACCCTTGAAAGCTTTTTCTGATCAAGTATGAATTAAATATCAATGTTTTTGTTTTTTTTCTGACTGTTTATTTTCATTTGCATTTTCTCTGCAGAAGTGACTTGAGCATTCCTTGCTTATAAGAAGCAATGGAGAATCTTTCAAAGAAAAAAAATTTGAGCCGAAAAAACGACAGTTTCTTCCACATTTCTTCCTTATTTCTACCTCATTTCTACCTCAGATTAAGGTTTTCTAGGGTACCGTTGTAAATTGGGCATTGATTTGACTTGTTAAATCTTTTAAGAAAAAACTAGTTTTCGAATTAAAGCCAAAAACCAGACTTAAATGTTAGCAGGTCAGGGCAGGGCAGGTCAGGGCAAAGAGAGATTTTTTTTATGGGTTCATATTTTTTTTCAAGTCTTTACCTATAGCTCAGAATATTTCTTTTGTAGCGAATTCCCACTTTTTTTATGCTTCCTCTCATAGCCCTACATTATTACACATAAAATTTAAAAAGTGAAGCATGATTATAATTGAATAAAATTTAGTTTAAACTTGTTTTATTTTAGTGTTAGGAAAATGTCTAACAAAATTGTCATCATTGACGAACAAACTAGTACTTTTTTCTTAATTTAATATTTTTAGACTTTTTTTTAATAAATCATGGTATTAGTTCCAGCCAAATACCCTTGTAATTCTTTTTGGTAAATAAAGAAAAACAGAAAAACGTTAAATATAATTTGTTCAAATACATTTGATTATTTTTCCAAAAAATATTATTGTTCACAATAATTTCTTTCACCTAAACCGGTGCATTGCGCAAAATTTGCGCTAAAATCAGGACATCAGAATTAGTTTCACAGAAATTCACTTTACAATGAAATGTGGTCCAAAATATGATTATTAAATGGAAGATTGAAATAATTTCAAGTGGCCCTCCATAGGCGGTTACTTTTTTTCACTTTTTTTTATTTGTCTAAAAATTGGAAATTTTCAGTTGATACATGCGGATTAATGCAGAAGAGGCAATGAACAAAATTGAAAGAATCATCTCTTTTTTATAATAGAGATTTATTTGGTATCCTTGTGAAATCTTCAAGTAAGTTTTTAATAAATTTCAAATGAAACACTGATCACTTCAATATGTTGAAAGATTGGGCTTAGTTATAAATGAATAGCTTTTTGTTATGTTAAAGTTTCGGGTCTGACCTAGAGAGCGCTTTTGCCCCCCCCCCCCCCCTCCTCAACCTCTCCTATCAATCTCGTACATGACAAACACTATCAGTATTTTCTAACAAATTACAAAACTAACAATAATTATCTTGCATCATTTCAAGGAAAGATAAGGATAGATTTCTGGACCAAGCGCTGCGGCTAGGATAGGCTAAGGGGACCGAGCGCTGTGGCTAGGACTGGAAAGGGGGCGAGCACAGCGGCTAGGACAAAATTATTTTACTTTTCCAAGGGTTCCCAAGAGTTTATTTTGCCTAAAAAACATCCATAGCGCAATTAATTGTCCCAAGGAACGTTAAGTAACTTAACAAAGGCAAGGAAGTTTGACTAAATAGAAAAAGATTTGATTTTGTTTCTTGATTACAATTATCATGGAATTGCACGGAATTAAATTCATTTGTGCTCGCAATTACTTTCAGGTAAAATTGCCATGCATTAGAACCCTGAATCAATTTTAAAAAACTTATTTAGTAGATGGCGTGGGGTGGGGGTGGGGGGGGGGTAGGTTAAAACCATAGCCCCCCTGTGGCTATTGTTTCATAAATTCTTTTTGTGCTATCTATCTAAGTAAGGATTTAATAAAATTGATCTTGAAACACCTGTTGGCAACCTTGGTAACCCTATAATGTGTGATGATAACGCCAGTGAGGAGTAGAGACAGAAATGCAACAGTTCCTTGTCGACCCTAAACATATATAAATATAATATCCAGGGAGGGGATAAAACAAATTGTTGAGAGCATAGATATATGATATATCATTGATTGACAGTGTATATGTGGGATAAAGTTTGAAACTGTATAGTATTTATTGTTGTAGTTTTTATGGATCTAGTATATGGGTTCCCAATGTGTTTCAAAATTGTATACAGCATGGAATACTGCCAATAGAATTCTGTTTAATGTACCTAGAGATACACATAGGTACTTGATTGAAAGTATTTCACAATGTTTACATGTAAAAACTGTGTTAGCTAGTAGATGTGTGTCTTTCTATGAGACTATTGAAGCAAGTTCTAAGCTTTGCATTAGATTTCTTTCTAATTTATGCAAAAATGACCTTAACACAGTTCTTGGCAGAAAATTTATTTCCATTGCAAATGATTGCTCTGTAAATCTTTCTGATTTTGGTAAAATGTTAGTTAAGAAACAAATGAAATATTTTGATGTCCCATTGGACCATGCATGGAAAGTTCCAGTTTTATAAGAACTTTTAAATACAAGAACGTATAATTTATATGTTGAAGGATTCGATGATTACGTAATAACTGAAATAATAAATATGTTTTGTAATGAGTAATGATCAATGTCGCCTATTTGTGCATAATTTTGAATATTTTTCTTTTGTAAAGCTATAATATTCAAAAAATTATTTAAACAAATTTAAACTACGCCATTTATATATGTATTTATAGCTTTGTGTGTGAATAAATCTATGCGTTGCACGGGAAATTAAAAAAATGAACTTTGAAAAAAAATATTATTATTAAAAGAAAACAAATTTAGATTTTTGATGTAAATTTTGTAGCCTTTGTTACCTCTAGGGTACCCATGGGTTCCCTAAAAAATAAGCAAACTCGGTCTAGTCGTTTGGCCAGCTATAGCTAACATATATATATAATACTATCTAAATAGAGACGATAAATCAATAAATGAATTTTGACTACTAAGGATCGTCGTGAGACGTGAAAGATATTTTTGCAACTTGATATTTTGCTGATATTTTGTAATACATTCATACAATCAATGGCAAACCTTTCAGTATATGTCACAACTGACAACCATAAACCTTACAAAATAAAAATATTTAGATTTTAAAGATATTTCAAACTATGAATTCTGTAATAGCCTTTGTTGGAAATATTAGGTTTACACCAGGGTTCAAAGATTTTCGGATGAAAAAAATTAGAATTTGTCTCGAGTGTTAATTTCAACTTCTTAAAGATAAAAAGTTAAAGATATTTGGATGCATGGGGTGTCCCACGAAACATGTCAGTAGCAAAACGAATTGATGGTCGCCATTGATCTTTGAATTAATTTGCGTATTTTGTCGTAAACCTAAAAGTAGAATTCTAGAGACAATAATAACAAAATACCCCTAGTCTTGACATTCCAACATGTGGTCTGCCTTTTCGTGTTTTCAATATTAGCGAAGATACAGGTTTCCTACGAAACATGACATTCCGTTAATAGTTTGTCGTCTGACATAATTTGTTAAGTTGCTTAGTACCAAAGACAATCATAAAATATTATATAGGGGTCATACTATAGTAAAATTAAATTCAATGTAAAATATATTTGAGGAAAAGATTTTTTAAACGAAACAAACTACAAACGCCTTTAATATCTAAAACAGTGTATGGAAGACGACATTCAAAACTATTTACCAACTTTCATGTTTCGTGGGACACCCTGTATGAAGAATTTCATTCAGATTTCGACAATTTGGTTTTAATAAAATTGAAATCTGAACGAAATTCTTAATATGTATCTCCGGTAATATTGACAGAACATGTTTGTTACAAGAATAAAACATGTGAAAGTAGGTTGACAACTGATTGTCACAAATAAATTCAAAGTTCAAAGACGACTTTCAAATCGTCTTGCTACAGGGACACCCTGTAGTTTTAACGGACGAAGAAAACAAGCTAATTTTAATTATAAATTACCCTGGTGAATGCTGGATTCTCGTAGTTTTCCATTTTCCTTAAATAGTTTTTTTTTAGAAATATTACATCAAATTAAAGTAAATTTCTTATTAGATTGAAATATTCCATGTTAACTGTCAAAACTAAATCCTTTGTATGAAAACAACCAAAATTGTTTTGAATGCCTAGTTTGTTTTTCTGCATATAGATGAGCTACAAGGTCACAAAGTTGTACCAGTAATGTGCATACATTTGACTATCTACTTCTCTCTAAGTTGTTTTTTCTTCAAATTCTAGAGCCAACTAACTTTGTGCAGAGAAGGTTGACAAAGAATCCCTGGGGGTACTCTGCATCAACAAACCACATCGAGGAGAGCCAGAAACAGAATATGAAGCTGAAGACAACATAACAGAACTTAAGCAAGTCTGTTCCTAAATGAATTTAATGTAAAACAATTAAATATAAAAAGGTTTTTTAGAAAATTTGTTCCATGAAATACTACTAATAACATTTAATAAGGTGTTAAGTATCTTCCCAAGTGACAATTTTCCTTGTAGCAACTTCCAAAATGTGCAATTTCCGAAGCGGCAACTTCCCAATGGTAAGGTTAGGCATTCTGATGCACCGCAGGCTGCATTGGCGGCCGAGCGCTGCGGTTAGGTTGGGTTAGGGGGCTGAGAGCTGCGGCTAGAACAGACTTGGGAAGTTGCAGCTTGGGAAATCGCGTATTCGGTAAGTTGCCACTTGGGAAAAGGTGTTAGGTACTTTCCCAAAGGCATTTTCCTACGGGCGACTTCCCAAGTGACAATTTCCCAAGTGGCAACTTCCCAAGTGTGCATTTTCACAAGCTGCAACTTCCCAAAGGTTAGGTTAGGCCCTCTGAGGCGCCGCAATGGGGGGCCGAGCGCTGCGGCTAGGGTATACTTGGGAAGTTGCCGCTTGGGAAATTGCACATTTGACAAGTTGCCAATTGGAAATATACCCTTGAGAAGTTGCAACTTGGGAAAAATCCTTTGGGAAAGTACCTAACATCTTGAGAAAATAACCTTGGTAAGTTGTCGCTTGATAAAATGTCTTTGGGATAGTACCAATCATCTTGCAAAATTCAATAGTTTATATTGTGAATTTGTATTGAAGGCAGTAAGGTTTTATAATTTCTATTATACTAATGGAAAGTTGAAAAATAAGAGTGGTAATCTTAAACAGCGATTAAATACTCTGGCAACCCACATCTTTCAGAAACAAAAATTATGCGGGAAGAATGTATATTGTATATAGCACTGATTGTGATTTAGCTGCAGTTACTTCAAAAAAAAATAACCTTCAACAATTAGCTGTTCCGGATACTTCAGAAAAAAGAGCCGGATGAACAAACTGAAGTAGATAGGGACAACCAGGAAACTTCCGTAAGTGTTTTCAAGACTGAAACAAAAAACATTATGAAATCTCAAACCTGTTTTTGCCTTTTAAAATTTTTTTTTGGCATAGTCTTCGGAAGCCTTTTCTTTTTGGTAATTTGTTAAATATTAAGGAGATTTTTAGTAATTCTCCAAAATCTACTAGCCTTAAAGGGAGTGTTCGCGAAAAATGAAAGGGGGGTAAAGGCTTAATGCGATAAAAAGGCGCTTTTGATCGCTACTAATATTACTTCTATCTGTTGCGCCAATAAGGAGAAAATTGTTAAAAACGACATACACCGAAGAACGCAGCGTCCATACAAATTCGGAAAGATGCAACATTCAACTCGGATCGTAAACAAATAAATTTAATTCCAAACAAATCATTCCGATATTACAAACAGTAGTCATCGGCTATTTTTCGACGCATTCGTATTACTTAATATTTCATAACATTTTGGATTAAAAAAAAATAATTTTCGCTGGCGCTGGATTTTCGAACATTTCTGGAAAATATGAAAATGTCGTCTTCATTATCAAAAATCCTTGAAACAGGAATAAATGTTTTCAAAAGTAACTCTCAACTCATGAAAAATACAAAATATAATGAAATATCAACTATTTACGAATGCGTCGAAAAATAATCGATGACTATTCTTTGTAATATCTGAATGATTTGCTTGGAATTAAATTGATTTGTTTACGATCCGAGTTGAATGTTGCATCTTTCTGAATTTGTATGGACACTATCGTTCTTCAGTATTAGTCGTTTTTAACAATTTTCTCCTTATAGACGCAACAGATATTTCTGAATTTGTATGGACACTACGTTCTTCGGTATTAGTCGTTTTTAACAATTTTCTCCCTATAGACGCAACAGATAGAAGTAAGATTAGTAGCGATCAAAAGCGCTTTTTATCGCATTAAGCCTATACCCCATTTCATTTTTCGCGAACACTCCCTTTAATATTTTTCAAAAATTTTAAAATTTTATTCTGAACCGGCCGAATTCCGTAAGTCGAGCCGAAGATCTTGCAGCTGTCACTAGCTGTCGTCAGTGTAAGGTATAAGATTGAGCCTCAAACCAGGGTTTAAGGACTTAAGACTCGATGCAAAGCTTTTAAATCACGGGCTTCGGGCTGAAAGTGGGTCAACTTCAGTAGCTTAAATTTGTATTAATAGTTGACCTGAAGAAGTTTGTACAGTTCCTGAAATCATCAGTTTCCGAAATAAGAATTCGGAACAGCTGGTAAAAGGCCAAGTTCTGAATTAAAAAATGTTATAAAAGATCCAATAAAAAAGTTCCCTTTTTTGATCAAATGCATTTTATATCGAAATCTAAATAAAAAGTGAAAATGTAAATGACAAAACAGAAAAGACTGCAAATTCACATTTTGGAAGTGTAAAAATCAAGTATTGTTTATTAAAGAATGTATCAAAAATGCATATGCAAATATCTACATCTTTAAAGTGCATCAAAATTTTAGTTTTAAATAAACTTGTGCTTGAATTAACATAAAAATGTCAACATATTGATTTAATACTTAAAATTGTAAAGATTCAATTCATGTAATTTTACTTCACTAAGGGTTCCTGAACATAAACATAAAGTAACATAAAGTAACATTAGTATAGGCTGATATCGAATTCAATTCGATATCAGCCTATACACTCTTTCATTTTTCGCGAACACTCCCTTTAAACCAAATTTTTTATTTCCCGAAATAAATTTTATCGTCTTTTTAGATGAAAATGCGTGAATTTTTTTCAAAAATTTCGCGGAATCATAGATCTGAAAAAGGCGGTAAAAACTTAATAAATAATTCAATCTTTCAGGTTCAAGAATAAACCTATGTAGTAAATGTCCTACTCCTAAAACCATGCTTTCCGACTCATATCAATCCTATCGTTCGCAAACCAAGAAACAATTACGCTCACACTGTAATCAAAGCGGATAATTATCGTAACTAAATGTTTTTTGGTTATACGAAACAAGTTAATCAACGTAAATACAAGTTCTACATTGTTATATCCAAAAGTGATTAAGTCACAGGTTTTACGTATTTGTATACAGCGTAGTTAAGTTAAATCGATCATGCTATGTAGTTATTTACAGGGCAGTTCAGATAATAATAATGTACAACGTAGTTCAAGTTTACGGATATATGGTTATACGATATTTATTACACCTAGACTAAAGTATAGTCGATGAAAAATAAACCTGGACTGGAATGAAGTTGATGAAAAATAAACCTGAACTAGAATGTAGTCGATGAAAAATAAAGTTTAACTCGAATGTAGTCGATAAAAAATAAATCTGAACTAGAATGTAGTCGATAAAAAATAAATCTGAACTATAGAATGTACTCGATGAAAAATAAACCTGAACTAGAATGTAGTCGATGAAAAATAAACTTGAACTAGAATATAGTCGATGAAAAATAAACCTGAACTAGAATATAGTCGATGAAAAATAAACCTGAACTAGAATATAGTCGATGAAAAATAAACCTGAACTAGAATGTAGTCGATGAAAAATAAACCTAAACTAGAATGTAGTCGATGAAAAATAAACCAAAACTAGAATGTAGTCGATAAAAAAGACCTGAACTAGATTGTAGTTGATAAAAAAGAAACCTGGACTAGAATGAGGTCGATGAAAAATAAACCTGAACTAGATTGTAGTTGATGAAAAATAAACCTGAACTAGAATGTAGTCGATGAGAAGGATTACAAGACCAAGGTTTAGCACTGTCCAACAACTAATTAACCCAGAGGGTTCAATAATCAAAACTAGTAAAATTATTACTTTTTAAGCATGTTTGAATATTAAGGGGAAGGGTCCGTCTTAGAGAACGATTTTTGGACCTCCCCCCCTCCCCCCTACATTATTACACATATTTATAAGTACTTGAGTATATTTTTTAATGGGATAAATAAAAATGTAATTTTGATTAAATCATAAAAATGTCAAAATCATAGAGTGGTAGCCTATATGTGAGTATATTAATACAATGACTACTTTCAATTTTGATTTATATCAAGCTGGATACACAATACACATAAACATAGAAGTTAAGAGAAGCCGTCAATAAAAAAAAGCTTCTCTTTGATTACTTGTAAACCGTTAATTATAAAAAGCCGATTTACAATCATTCAAAACTGAAATAAAAAAGTTGTCTGCATTGTATTAATATAATCGCCTACTACTATAGCAAAATAAAAATGTTCTGTGAATAAAAAATAATGATGGTTATAAACCCTTCCTTGATCTAATGTACAAGTTGTACAGGAGAGAACTGCATATTCCAGTGTTGATAATACCAAGCAGTACAGGCAATCCAGCTACTTAATTGTAATCATTTATGTTATACAGGGTTATACACAAAAGATGAGCCTGTAATAAAGACTTAAAACTTTAAAAATATGAAGATTTGAATCATTATTTTTGGTTTCTACATCTAGTTGAGTATTTTGATGGTTTACTAAATGATCAAGCACAGAAATATGCCAATTTGGCCATATACAAGAAAACCTACTAACCAAATCTGTACAGTGTCTTTGAAGTCTCATCATACAAGAAAACTGACTAAACAAGCACAGAAATATGCCAGTTTGGCTATATACAAGAAAACTGACTAAACAAGCACAGAAATATGCCAGTTTGGCTATATACAAGAAAACTGACTAAACAAACACAGAAATATGCCAGTTTGGCTATATACAAGAAAACTGACTAAACAAACACAGAAATATGCCAGTTTGGC